TTGTGTGATTTGTATATTTGTGTTTGATTTGTATATTTTATGCACCAATGCACCAAGACAAATTCCTCATATGTGTAAAAACCTACCTGGCAATAAATCTGATTCTGATTCTTCTGATATAGAGATATTGTATAATTCACACAAATCATATTTAAAAAAACAAACAAACAAAAACGCTTTTTTGGGGGAATTTGGTCTCGTTAAATTAATATATTTACATAAGAGCATAAATTATTTTTCAGTCTTCAAATTCTTACCAGATAAATGAATCATGTTACAAACACTTACCTACCAAATTTAAGACATAAATGCCCTAATATGCACAGGCTTGGATACCAGTATGTACTATAAATGTAGGACTAGAATGTTATCCCCATTAACACAGAATAAGGTAAAAATACCATCAAGTTCAAAATGAGTATACATTTAAGATCTAAAAGAAAATTAAAATTGATCTAATCCATGACAGACACTTATTGAATTGTTGAAACCTCCACATTTTGAAGTTCTTTAACCAAATTCTATGTTCTGAAGACTCCTCTGTTCCCACTGTAGTTTAATTAGAATACTAAAATCAAGCCGATTTTACAGGTTTCATCTGCAGATATGATCATGAGAAAAGTATTAGAAAAAAAAAAAGAATCACAAAACAATGACATCTAAAAAGCTGTGAGCTTTGAGGTTGAGTGAAACCTCTTTCTCACTTCAGACAATCACCTTTACTCTTTTTCTTTTAAATTAATGTAGATCTGAAAGTGAGTCACTTTTAATCTACCGAGTGCCTCATCTTCTCAATTAGCGATCTTTGACGGGATGACGACTTCCACCCTTCCTATCCGGGGTCTTATCGCATCACAAGCTTGTTTACATAATCTCCACAATAAATGGAAATTAACAAATTGGACACAAGCGACACGACCCACGATCATATATGTTTATATTCAACATTTATTTAGGTTTAAATGTAGTTGCCATAACAACACAATAAATAGATCCTTAGTGATATTACAGACCACAGCAGTTTTGGATTCACAAGAAATAATTACTCAGGGAGCATTCACAGTTAACAAACACTGAACAGCTGAAGACAACAAAGCTCATTTTCACATGAAGCAGAACTGGCATTAGTGGATAGTATGGCAGGTATCATAACAGTGGTGTCAGACGTTATTGCATATTCATGCACGACAAGCCTGTGTCAGATATACAGGATATCAATGAGCATTTCTTTTCCATGTTAGTTAAGATTTGAATTTTTAAGTTAGTGGCATACCAGAGTGCAAAAACAGAACAAGAATCCCTTTATCCACACCATGTTTAGGCATAGCAGAAGCTGACCTGTGGTTCGCACAGGAAGCTTCCCTCCTGCAGTGGTGATCAAACAACATTCAGTAACAATTTCACACTGAAGAAATGCTTCATTACGTAGAGCCACGACACAGCATTAACTGTCAATTAATCCTGTAGTGCAAAGTGACATCACATTCAAATTTCTACTGGCTGTGACTCTCTGAACGACAACGACCACAAATGAAAATCAAAAGAGATTTTAAAAAAAATAGTCCGTGTGCAATATGAATACTGACAGCACATTTCTACTGCTTGTTAAGGTCCAATCAGAAACAGAAATATTTAACACAACATTTCTATAAAAGTACAACCATTAAAAAAAACAACTGAGCATTATTAATAAAAAAAAACGAATGTAAAAATAACATGTAAAAATAAAAACTCTAAAATATTTAATAAAATATGATGAGCTCACAACATATGAAATTAAAATAGAACATATTTGGTCATTGCAAATGTTTCCTGGTTTAACCACTACGTTTTGGATTGTACAGGGGGAATGAAAACAAAAAAATGTAGTTGTGAGGAAATGCAAATGGGACATTCTCATTCAGTTCATCTAAAAACTCAAAATGAGAAAACAAGACGGCCTTCGGGGGAAGAGCAACTCTTCCCGTTGTAAACAATTACAGATATTTCCCGCAATGAATGATAATCGAACGGCGGAGGATCCAAAATCTCCCTGGCAATTTCCATTTCCTTCATGTTTGAAATTCATTGCGTCATAAAAAAAAATTAAAAAAAGATCATTCGTCCTGTAACCTACAGCAATACGGGAACGCTTCTTTCATACACACCTAAAATCTGTTCTTTTTGGGGATTAACCGCAGAAGTAACGTCAGCAGCCTTCCTCTTCTCTCTCCTCTCTCCTCATAAGCTTATGGTGGTAAGGCAGTCTGCATGCTGGGAAAGCTGGAGGCGTTGTCGGATGTCTAAGGCAGCCAATGAACCGAGAGCAACGACATTTTCTCAGGAGAGATGCAGGAGGCTTTCTGTTCCGTTTTCAGTAACAACTGCGCAGGCTGCTTTCCGTTTCCTCTCACAGAACATTTAGTGTCATTGCGGGGCAGCGAGGTTTTGCCTCCAAGTGGTGCGTAATAGACTTGGGGTGTGATTGAAGGAGCGGAGAGTGAATGTAGACGTAGCTAGGAGGCAGGTGAGGCTACTCGAAGGTCCAGACCTCCAGACTGTGGATGTTGAAGTCCTGCTGGGCGGAGAGTGGCTGGTTGTTGAAGGTGGCGCATTTGGTGGTGGTGCCTCGGTACAGCTCAGCGTCCAGCCACAGACCCAGCTGACCACTGCAGAGCAAAGAGTTAAAACATTTAGAAACACTTAGGTCGAACCCTGGGCCGCCGCAGCAAGGACCCAGCTCCGGCACATGGGGCGCCAGCTCCACCAGGCGAGCCACCCATGACGCCCTGATAGTCATTCTCTCTTAATGGCACTTAATAGATATGGTCTATTCTTAGGTCACAAAACAGAAAACTACACAAGGAGTGTTAATAGGGTCCAGATAACTCTAAATTAAGTACTAATTAAGTGATTAAGTTTAACTCAGAATATGTTACCCATTTATTTTAGAGAGGTTTTGCTCATTACTAAAAAAAAACCTAAGTATGGACCAATGTCAGAGGACTTTGAACTATAAAACTTGTACTCAACTGAATTTAAATCTTTTACAAGTTTTTTATGATCCCAGTTTAACTTTAAGTCTTGCTTAGTTGTGAGAAATACCTCACTTTAGAATGAGGAACATATTCTGAGTTAAAAAGACTCAATTTAGAGTTATTTGGACACTATTAACATCTAGTGTTTTGTTACATGAAAACAGACCATATGTATTAAGTGTTACTAAAGGTGAATAACTATTCTAGGGGTACTACCACCTTATAATAAGGTACATATTGAGCAAAGTGAATTAAGGTCATAATTCATGTACAACAACTTACTTGCTCTCTATCAATAAGCAATAATTAGGAGGTAAAAATAAAGGATTAGTAAGTTCTATATAATGACTAATAAAGAGCTAATATGCTACTAACATGCATGCTAATAAGCAACTAGTTAATAGTGAATGTGTACCTTGATAGGAAGGGTTACCATTTGATGTAATTGGCTGTAATTTGCTGTGCTCCGGCACAAAATAACTGATTAAACAAGCTATTAACTTGCAGTGTTGCTGGCAGATCTACTTACCCTCCTCCTCCCATCTGCAGAGAATCCGTATTGCCCTTCACAAAGTAAGAATTCTCCCCCGTCCAGCGGTACACCTGAAAACAAACAGCAAACGATGTCTGATATCACCATTTGAGGAATAAAGCTAACCGTAAGTGATAAGTGATCTGCATATATCGTTATTTTTGTTGATCTATTCTGTATTCTGAGTTTTTCCTTTATCAGAATCAAGCGTCTAAGGATAGAGGGTGTTGTATGCTGCACAGATTGTAAAGCCCCTTGAGGAAAACTGTGATTTGTGATATGGGCTATATGGGAGTAAACTAAGTTAGTACAAACCTTGATCTCAGGACAGAAGCTGTACAGGAATGTCTCTCCTGTGCCATAGCAGTATTCACTCACTCTGAAGGGATGAGTCGAGAACGCCCCAAATATCTGTCAAAAGAGTCCATTAAAGGATGAAAAATTTAATAACTTGCAACAAATAATCATAAACTAGTAGTTAAAACCCCCATGTGAATGTTTATAATTACAAGAACTCTGAAATTAATCTGATAGCATACATTTTTTCATCAGTGTATTTTTTTATATCACCACAAGGAGTCGCCAAAGTCGAGAGCAATAACTGATCAACCTGTTAAAACACTACAAACCTAAAAACCCTGTGTGTGTGTGACAGCAACACACATAAAAAAGGTTTGGGTAGGAGCACTTCCTGGATTCAGTTTGAGTTTGTTTGAATATAGTGGGCAGTTCCTGGTTTTTAATAAGGAGATACAATTCAATTTAATCCCCTTGTAACACCCACACTGTACAATTGTAAGAACCAAACGTCATTATGTTTTGATGTAAAAGATGCCTATTTGTTAATCTATGCAGGAATACATATGTTCAACGTGTTCACGAGTCTTTTCAACTGTCAGAGCATTAGTCAATGCTATTTTGTACCTCTACTAACACATGATGAATGATAACACAGCAGGAGAATGTAATTCCAGTGCAAATTGCCTAGTAACTGTTAATAATGTATTTTAAAAACCTGTAGAAATAGCAAAACTACATTAATACATACAATTTGTGTTCTTTAAAAAATAATCCTTGTTTATTTTTGCAAACCTAAAATCAAATCAGGAAGTAAACGTCATTCTGTGTAGTGTATGTGTAGTAATTTAGTTTTTAATCGTAAGAAAAAATAATACGAAACTGTATTGAGTCCATAAACACCAGCTGCTGTATTATCAGCCATTGGGCTCCGAGTCATTTACATACAGTACGGACCTGGTTATCCATGTCTTTGACGACCAGCAGCACGGGACTGTCCACGTCTGCCAAGCTCCTGTACAGAGTCTTCAGGCTGGTCCCATGTTTCACAGTGCTGTATGCCAGTCTCCAGGGGTAACCCTGCACACGTGCTGGCAGGCGACAGGCGAGCTGGAGGGCAAACAGATAATCCGATTATGGGGCTTTTCAAATTTTAATCTTTTTTTTAATTTATTTTTTTATAGTATGTGGGTTGCTTTATTGGTTAGCAACCACATAGAGCTGCACGTACCTTCTCGATGTGCGTGTCCTGCATCAGATCACTGGTATCATTGAGTATTGGCAGTGCATCCACAGAGTCTCCGTCACAGCTGCCGAAACTCTGCCTACGCTTAGCCTCATCAATGGTGATGATCTTGGAGCAAAACAAACACATGAGCAAGTCAAAGAGTAATCAATGACACAAAGTCTTCACTGCCTCTGCGAAACAGGACATCAGTCGCAAATGAAGCTCATTTCACAACGTCAAAGGTCTCAAAATGATCTTGTTTATGACCGTATTAGAAATGTCAGCAAACCGTGTTGTAGTGTTGACTCTGTGATGCAAACAGAGGCAAGCGAATGGACTACATGCTTTTCTACTGAGCTCACCTCCCAGCTGCAAGATGCAGGGTCACTGAAGAAGTTGTCTATCATGTCTAGCTCATCTTTCTCCACCACAACAAAGCCCTGCTCTCGAGCCTCCTTCCCGTACACATCTGGAGACCACTGGACGAAAAATGCGTACAGATGGTCCACCCTGGAACACACACACATACACACACACACACACACACACACACAATACATATTCTGGTTAAAAGCACATAGCTTGTTTACACGCACACTGGGGTTTAAGACCAGCTCCCACATGGATTTTCTTTTTCAAACCAGCATGACAATGTACTGCGGGAGTATTTTGTTAATATAAGTGCTAGTCATCCTGTCACCTTTCTTGTGGCACAGCAAACCAGTACTCTGGCTGTTTACCCCGGCCCCCAAATGAGTGGGCGGGACTAGAGGTCATCCCAGAGGCAAAGGACTTCCTCATTGGCTTTCCCACTTTGAAGCACAGGAACATAGGTGGGTTTTTACTCTTCTCCTCTGATGAGAAAAGCATGTCTGCCAAGATTAAAATAAAAAAAAAAGAGAGAAAAAGAGCGTTTGGTTAATATCCAGTCACAAATGACAAATCTATCCATGGGTTTAATATTTAGTTTATGACTGCTACCTTCTATTGGAGCCTGCATCCTCTCCAGCAGCCACGACTTCACTTCTGCCTCATAGCTTTTCTTCCGTCTCTCCTCCTCACTGAGTTCAGCCCCACATGCTGGTCTGTCTGGGCTTTGTCTCTTCGGACCAGAGTTTCCACAAACCTCCGAAGCCTCCTTCAGACTCAGCTTCCTGTTTTGGTCCACTGGTGCGCTGATTATTTTATCATGTGCACCATTTAGCAGCTCTTCGGTCCCTTTAGGTTTTGTTTCTTTGGTTTCAGTTACCTCTTGGCTTGAAGGTTTATCACCCTGTTTTTCAGTCTCTGAGGAGGATTGTATCGACTCTCCATCCTCGATGGAGCTGTTCTGAGCTACGCCCTCATCCTCTTCATCATCCAGCTTCCCTTTAGTGTGACTAAGCATCGACTTCTCCTGGAGGTCTCCCCGGCCTGGGCAGCTTGGTCCTAGTTCCTTTTGGTCCCTGCTGATAGTGTTGGTTGTTTTGGAGGACGTGGCCTCGGCCTCTTCAGTGCTCCTGTTGACAGTAGGCTCCAAATCTGTGAATCCTTCGTCTGATGGAGACTTCTCTGTCTGCTCGCCCTCTGTGCTCGCTGGTATTAAGAAGATAGGACGGTTTTTATGTTTAACATCAAGACATTTTCATTATCAATCAACTTGCAGTCTACAAATGAGAGAAAATAGCGAAAAATACCTAATCAAAAAATATTCACAGAAGCTGGAATTTAGCATTTTGACTTAAACAATGAAGATTAATTTACTGTCGATAGACTAATGACTAATCTAGATCTGAATTTGTCATTTTCATTCATTAAACAGACACATACAAACGTCCCAAAAAATGCTGATTGTGGATAGTATCAGACAAAAGTTAAGATTAAGAAGAGGATCACTCTGAAGCTTCAACAGTACGTTTCACAACCCGTTGATGCTGGATGACAGGACGTTACCAGTTTCTGAGAGGGTTGATTCGATGTCGTCCAAGACGATTGGTCGCTTTGGATCGAGAGCTTCATAGCGGCTAAAGGGGTTCAGATCCTGTTCTGAAGGCAGTTGCTCCCACTCGCCGGGCCTGTACACAGGACACAAATCCTCGGGTAGGTCTCTGTGGGGTCACGGGGCATCACACAAACCGCACGGCAAACCAAGTACAAAAATGAAAAGGGAAAAACAAAAAAAGAAAAAGGTCCAACAGAAATGATAAATGACCAGAATGACACAAAACAAAATAACACGTGTGATGTGAAACAGCATAAATTAATCAAAAATTGAAAGATTAATGATGAACTAATCAAAAGATTTTAATGGAAAATTACAAACTATCTAAATCTGAAAGCTTTTTAACTAAGAAACAAGACAACAAGATTCGAGTAGAAACAAATATGTGACAAAAAAACAGGATGTGGTAACGAGGGAGATGGGAAAGTCCTGGAAATCTAAAAGGCTTTACACAAACGGTTTTATTTTTTAACAAGAATAAGACAAATAGAAACTGGAAGGAGGAACAAGAAAGGAGGACTGGAAAAGGAACGGTTACGAAAAGAAGGAAACGAGGAGAGCGGGACGGTTAGGTGCTCTTACGAAGGCAGAGCATCTTTGAGCTTCATGCGCGACACGTCGTCATACAGCGCCACGGACACGACCTCCTCCATGGGGCAGATCAGGCCGTACTCCTCGCAGCCGTGCTCGATCACCAGGGGGTCTGACTTGTGGGGGTCAAACATGATGTTGTTGGGTGTTACGATCAGCACGCCTCCCACCACTCCCTGCAGCATTAACGTAACACACAGAGACACAGCAGTGGTGGTGGGGGCAACAACGTCACAAACAAAATACAACAGGGGTACATGCATTTGAATTAGGTCTAGCCTTGGTAGAAGGGGCTCCAGCTCTACCAGGTGAGCTACCAGCGCAACCATAAGAAATTATTGTTAAGTTATTATCCGGCATTATGATGTTTTCTTGACTTCTTACCATGCCATCAGTGAAATATTTGCAGCTCATCTTGATGAATTTAACCGTCGCTGGGCTCTCGTCCTCAGAGTTTGGGGAGAGCTCACGCCGGAGGGATTTTGCTGACATGCAGTTTGACATGCCGTCCTGCAGGAAGTTAAAAAGACAGAGACCTGAATGTTATGCTTGTATTTAGAATGGCTTGTTCGGAAGAGAAGAAATCAATCGCCATGTGCTTTCAGTTCTTATTAACCTTTCATTTAAGGCCACCAGAGTCAGACATTTGTTGTTTTTTTGTGTCCAAAAGTAACTTCTTCACTTCACTGCCAAATGATGGTAGATTAAATTACCTTCCACTGCAAAATATTCAGTCTACATTGTTTGTGCACTTATTATTAAAAACTGCTTACCCATACCATGGATTCAATTTGTCATCCATCATGGAGGATAGCAGAATTTGAAATATGACAGAATTGGACATTTTTTTTGTAGCATCAGAGCAATAGTTTTACCTAAACATAATAGTTTCACAGTTAGAGCCGATGTAGACGGACAACTTTGAAGTCTGAAAACACACAAAAAAAGACTGTCTCCTTTTATATTATCTAAATAAGCGCAAATTTGACTATTTAAGTATCTGGTGTTTGTAACATACCCTTATTTCAAATATAATTAATACAACTCAAACTAACACTAAGATCAAAGGTAGATTTATGTGTCATTTTTGCCTTTTTTGGTTTCATAGTCAAGATTCATACAGGAACATTTTTAAAAAACATGTCCCTAAATGTCTCCTGTCTGCAGCATAATGAAGACTTTCATACTTACATGTGATGCGAGCTTCAAACTTTCATACTTACATGTGATGCGTTCTCTGATAAGCCATTTGTGCAGGAGGGATTGGATGAACTCTCAGACTTATGGTCAGTTTCTGCCTGGCTCACGTCGGGGACAAACAGTTTCTGTAAGAACGATGATAGGCAGCCAAAGGTGAGCCAGTCTGAAAAATACTAAGGGAGCTGAATGAAGTGGCGGTTACTGCCGAGGTTCTCACCTGACCGGGGTAGACACTGCGAGAGAAGAGCTTGTTCAGCTGGACCAGTTTGTTTGGGGTGATGTTGAACTTGAGTGCGATGCTGTTGAGGGAGTCATTAGGTCCCACCTGTAACATGGGGAAGAAATTAGTCTCTGAAAAAAGGAGCACAGGTCAAACTACAACCTTTCTGCTAATAAGCCAGTGTGTTATTTAAATGTGTTATACTGTAGTTTTACTCACACTGAACTCCACTGTCCCAGGTGGCCTCTTCTTCTCCCTCTTTGCCTGATTGTTACTTTTACAGCCATCATCTACAAGAGAAACAGAAAATGAGAAAATGATTGTGTGATTATGGCAAAACAAAAAAAACAACAAACACAATTATTCTTGTGAGAGAAAAGAAATACTAAGAAATACTCCAACAGAGATGACCTTATCCAGTGGTTAGCTGCATTTTGAGACAGTACCCATGCTTGTTTGTCCCCTTTCGTCATCCAGCCTTAAAACACTGTCCCATACATGCTGAAGCAGTTATCATAAAAACACACACAGACAATCTGACCCTTGTAGTAGACAAGGTCCACAGTCAGCACTTTCTTCTTGCCAAGAACACAGGATCTAATAGCATACCACTCCCTGACTGCATAATTACACTGCTGCCTCCTCCATGGAAACCGAGGGCATGACTAAGCATTAGACAGCCAGACTCCCACTGGGTCTGCTCCTTACTGTACTGAGCATCAAAGACAAGACCGCTGTCACGTTTATGAGCACGGCCACTAATTCATACGCATATAAAATTAGACAGGACAATATATGCTTATAAGCTAAAGAGTTACGGTTTGGTTGTATGTTACACAGCAGAACATCATTTTTGATTTGATGGGCTGCAGGTAACAATGTTGTGGTCTATGACCTACTGCACGCATGACGAGAGTCTGTTATCACTGTAAACATGAAGGAGCTGGGGATGATTTATGCAACACGTGATAGCAGGTTACTTAATGCTCATGATAGAGAACACACTGAAAACAAAATGCAGAAAACTAATTTGAAAGCTCTTATTAACACTGCACACATCACTCTTAATATGTATTCGTTTTTTCTAGCTTAGGTTAGGTTCATTGATAATTAGCTGACACTGAAAGAATTTTTGTTAGTCATCCTCAGTGTACACACTGAGTTCATTAGCCTGATGATACAATCTGCCCTTTTCTCATGTGTTTGACAAAATCCTAACCCTCTAATTAGAAAAGATGCTAGTATCTTATGAATTTTTAAGGAGAAATGAAGGGAATCATACTCATTGTGTTCCATTGTGATGTAAGACCAACTCTCACAAACTTTGTGAATACAGAGACTTAAATGCCATCATCAACTGTAAAACAGGATAAAGGTTATGCAACTTCCTGTTTAAAACTGCTGAGCTCGTTCCCAGCAGAGAGGACCCTTGTGCTGCAAATAAGACAGGACAATATGAACGGAGATAGTAATACCGCTAAGTTTACATATTTCTTGTCTAAACACAGGAAAAAATTTTGTTAAGACAACAAAAGCCTGAATCTCTCTGTAACAGCGGGGATGGTTTTGCCCAGCATATGTTTTCTTTCTAATTAGCTAGTTAACCCGCTTTGAATGGCGCTGTTACACCGAAGGTAACTGTAACTACCAAAAATGTGGATTATGACTAGAATATTTCTAGTTTAATTATAATTCATATAATTCACATGGGCTTTACACAGGGATTGTCACAAAGCTACTGTAGATGGGAGAGTACTGCATTCAGACAATGTTGTGCCATAGGTTTTACACACAAATAAAATCAGGTTACTAACAAATAGTATTAGCACTGGAAGTACCCCAAGCACAGTAGTCAGTGTAACCAAGATATAGCAGAGCCCTCTATGTATCTATCAATAAGGTTATTCTTTAATACTTTTTAAGGGCATCTGCAGGTAATCAGAAGCTTCAGGGTATGTTCCAACACGTGTGAGTTTTTGATGCAGGTCGTACCTGAGCCTGCAGGTGGCTTCGCTGTTATTCTCTGCGGGTCTGTCTTCTTGTTGGGGTTGCCGTCATTTGGGGCGTCTTGACAGGAGATGATTGCTGGATTCTGCTCATTCACACTCTTCTCCGATTGGCTCTGCTTGAGCTGCCTCCGCCTCTTCAACCTGATGAGAAGACAGAGGAGACGGAGATATTCACATCTGCTTAAGTCAAATAAAGAAAGATAGCTGTTTGATCACTTATGTTATAATTTATGCCATGACAACTCTTTCAGGTTAGGAATGTGATCAGTGTGTACAAACATGTGCACAGGCATATAGTTTAACCATTTCAATGTTACAGCTCATGACCTTTTCATAATAAAATATGAACTTGTAATGTTTAACAGTGTTGCAGCTGACTCCCACAGGATGTAATGAAGCATTTAACATAATGTTCCTCCTTCAGAATGGCCTATTATGACATATGGCACAAAAACTGACACTCAATTTTAGTTCCACATTGAAAGTAATGATTTATTTTTTATCATAATGGTTAAATGATGATCATGAAGATGACAGACAAATGTTTTCTTAAATCTGGAGAGCAGGATTTGTAGGCCAGGGTTTCTCTTCAGAACTAAAGTACTTCATTATAATATTGTTTTGTCAAACATTTTACCTTCCTCAAAAAACTGCAGCTTCTGCGATTGGCATATTGCACATGGCCATATAATAATATTTCAATTAATTTTGTTAAATTTGTGCAGCCCATATAAGTATTAAAACTACTAAAACATCAGCGAGCTCCTTGTCTGATATAAACCATCCAATTGTATAATTCTATGACAGCTAACCTGCTGTCCAGGTGCTACTACTGTGCTCAAAGTTATCACATCGACTAACTTTTTTTCCCCTCTTTACTTTGCTGCGCCAGCTGTATTTTCCTCTCAGACAGTCCTTTGCCCCTGTTTAATCATTGATAGGTGGGCGAGTTATGTAACGGCATCTTCAGACCCTCTTGGGGTTTGTTAAGGGGGGACACTGCAGTGCAGTGAAACCACGGGTTAGAGGTGCATTTTACAGATAATGCACCCACTGTGAGCCCCACTGAAGTAGTAGATATGAGTTAAGAGTTAAGGGGGGCAGAGTTTCCCTGCACAGCCAGCTGAGCAAAGGAAGAATAAAAGAAAAACCAAAAGACAAACGTTTTAAGCGTTCAAGCGCCTTAATGGAAAGGCAAGAGTCGGTCGATAAGGCTGCAGACAGACGGTGTTCAGGCCTCTCCCACAGCCTCGGGTCACTCTCCCACTTTAAGTGATGCAGCACACATCTGGTAGTGAACTCAAGAATCTGCAGACACATTCTTAACAGCACCGTCTGTTTCACTCCAGGCCATTTTGCAGAGTATCTCAATCACTCTCTACCCTTCATCTTACTGCCTCCCCCCCTCTCTCCTCTCTAACCTTCCGTTTGTAACTATAGTGTATCCATTTCCAGCAAAGTGGGAGGCCATTATTGGACCCAACAGGATGATTTTAGTGTTGTATGTATGCCTTTTTACAATCCTCCCTTTGAATCAAATGTATATAATTACTGTTGAATAGAACATGTGAAAACAAATCTGTACAAATGCATTTTAAGTATGTACAAATACACAACATTCACATCTCTCAAGACACCAGCCACCTTCAGTTTCTATGGAGCTTTTTTGCTGATGCAAAACTGCTCAAGCTGCTCGATGCCAATTGTATTGACATCTGAACTGAAAAAGTAAATAAGTAAACAGGCTTTCTTTGATCTTTGATTTTTGAACACTATTGACTATATGTATTTTATTTGAAAATGTAGCCATGGCAACAACTAATAGGGATAAATAAAATAAATAAAGCCATTCCTGTTTTACTTTGACTTCATGTTTGCTGTTGTTTTGATAAAAATAAATATTCTCCTACCACAGCTCTCTAGCAGACGGCCACAAATCATCATTTTGGTCTCATTGGACAACAGAACCTTTCCCCACTTTGATTCACAGTCTCCCACATATCTTCCGACAAAAACCGGCCAGTGTGTTGTGTGAGTTTGCTCAACAGCCATTAAGCTGCGACTAGTGAAATCACCAACTACAAAATTACTGCACCTACTACAACTGCAAATGACTTAATCTTACTCTGAGTCACGGTGCTCTGCAGCTCCTTCACAGTTGCCATGAGCCTCTTGGTTTGTGCACAGCCTGTTCCTGGCAAATGTATAATCTGTCCATTTTTTAATCCAATCTTACTTAATGTATATTCAATGCCTTTGAACGTACAGTAATCTTTGGATTAATGCTTTCTTCTTCAAAAGGTAGTTTTTCCAGGAAACTGATGTACCAGCATTTTCCAGATATTGAACCTAAAAGTGCTTATCACACCTTCATATGATCTCAATTTAAAGGGGAACTTGG